TGAGATCCGGGTCCGGATGGTGAAAATGTGCGATTTCAATGCATTTTCGGCCTTAAAGCGGCTGCCATTTGGCTATCGTTAATGAGATCATGAAACAAATGCACATACATATTTGTGACATGATGTATCTTGTGTGTGTGAAGTTTGAACTCGATCAATCCAAGCATGTCTCAGATACGGATCCAGAACTGAATTCTTTAAAACAAAATGGCCGCCAGTCGGCCATTTCGAACCCGATCCAAAAAAAAAAATGACGTGCATCAAGGTCCTATTATGTTTAATGTATGTACCAAATTTGAACAAAATCCATCCATGCATAACTGAGATCCGGGTCCGGAATGGTGAAAATGTGCGATTTTGATGCATTTTCGGCCTTAAAATGGCCGCTATTCGGCTATCGTTAATCGGATCATGAAAAAAATGCATGTGCATATGTCCCATATAATGTCTGATGTATGAGTGAAGTTTGAACTTAATCGGTCCATGCATGTTCGAGATACAGGTGATCACGGACGCACGGACGCACGGACGCACGGACGCACACAGGGCAAAACATAAGTCCCCGTTTTCGGACTGCGTCCGAACGGGGACTAAAAATTGGATCTCTGGCTTCCACTACTTTTAAAAATTGGCATTTCAGTGCATGTTACTTGAGACAAGAGCAATTTGTTTATGATTACCTTCCAGATATGCAGTGTGTGCAACACCCTGTTTTGCAGATGGTGGAACACCTCATTGTGCACCACCATATCAACTCCCTATTGAGTAACATCCTATTGTCACATAATACATGAAGTATGTAACAGGTATACCATTTAATCCACAGATGTTGTAACCACCCACCTGTATGTCATTGCCTCTATCAGCACTGGTCGGCTTTCCTTAATGGCAATATTTCTTGCAGCCTTAGTAGCATTATATACAGCAAAAACATCGTTTCCATCTACCCGCACTGAATATATACCATAACCATGACCCCGAGATGCTAAAACAAATAAGTATTGAAATTACTCAATATGCAATGAATTAAACAAATGAGTATCACAATTAATGTGCAATGAACTGAACAAATGAA